GCTTTTGACATCGCGGTTTTAGCGCCGCGGTTTTGTCGGCGCGCTTTTGACGTTCGCGCATTTGTCGGGTCACGGAGGTAGAGGCCGACTTGTCAGAAAAGGTTTTGAATCGGGAACACATGGATTCAAACTGCAGCAGGGTGGTGTCACATCCCTTGTATCCAGACAGCATCCTAAGACCAGTGGCACGCGTTGTTCAAATTGTGCTCTAATATTGTTTGTGCTGCAGACATTCACGCTGCCATTGATTTCAGGTTCAGACGTGGCCAGAGCCTAATATGTGCATATATCAAGCAGCCTCTCCGTTTCTCTCTAATGCCATCGGGAAAGAAAGTGCAACAATTCCTTTCCTGTTTTATAAACGCTCCAAAGCACAGAAATGTTTGGCTGCTAATAATACAAAAGGGGCAACAGATAATATCCACGAGGACAGTTTCACAAATCAGTGAAATCTCCAGGAACCTTTTCTTTTTTACTTCTCTCTGTAGTGGTAGCCTCCGTCTCCATTGTCAAGTCCCAAGCTAAACCGGGTCATTGTGCCATCTAGAGAGTCTCTATGAGGTCGAGCAGATTTCAGCTGAAATCTCTGTGAATGTTTGCAGTTTCTCTTGTAGGGCTAAAAATTAGACTCCGGGTGAATTAATATCCCCTCATTTAATTTGTTCAGATGCCCCGCTAAGGTCAGTGTCTTAATTTAATAAAGGACTACAGACCAGTTCAAAAATTCATAATGAGACTTTTCTTGGGGGAGTAGCTGAAGAAGAAAAAAAGCTGCCTTTGACCAGTGCTACCATTCAGAACCTTCCCACTTTCCAGTTCCCTTTGCATGCCTAGTGTCACTTTGGAAGAATAAACATGATTTGTTGTGAATTTCCTCCAAGATATAGATGAATGAGCACGCTGTCAGCTTTTGCTTCCTTGCCTCAGCTGCATTTCTGATTCTTGCCTGGAGGGAGTTGAGGCTTTCAAATCAGTCCAGAGAAGCATTTTTCTTCCCATCTGTCAATTTATGCAGATTTCCTCCAAAAAACAAGTGGGAAGATGAAATTCTAGGACCGTTCGGCACTTCAGATTTGAGTCCAAAAAGCTGTTTGGAAGCACAGACATTATCCCTTTCTGCATCTCTTTCAAGCATCTGGATCTTTATCTGGCTCACAATCTTGGGGAAAGACGCAGCTACTTTAAAGAGTTGCAGAGAGGATTACATACACATTCAGAAGATCTGAATCTAAAACACCGTACAGCCCTATTTCTTCATAACCGATTTATGCTGTCAGTAGACTCTCAAGATTAGCAGCAATCACAAGAAATATAAAAATGCTGTATTTAGCTAATATAATTTTGCAGATCATATTGTTTAGCTTACTTCTTGCATGTGTTAAATAAGCAATTGGTAAGACGGCTCATGTACACAAACGGTAACATGATCACCAGATGACGTACCCTCCCTTAGAAAGAGCTATATTGAGAAGCAGCATAACAAATGATTATGACACTAATATGGAGCTTACACAAAGTAAGAAATTATTTATGAAGAGGAATTCTGTATATATTTCTAGTGTATTCAAACATAGCATTGCAAATTGAAGAAAAAAATGCATCTTTGGGGGGAAGCCATTTCCCAGATCTAGGACAACTCGCTGTGGGCCTGCGGCCAACTTCCCGTGGCCAACTCCCCATGAGACATTTCACTGTGGGTCAAGCTTTACACTAATACTGAAGAAACGGTGGAACAGAATCATTGAAGAAAAGATGCCAAAGGAGAACCAAAAATTAAAATATTTTTAAAATTATTTTAAATAATTTGAATTTTTGAATTGTCCCACGGCGACTTGGCCATCATCGCAACTTGGCCGCAACAAGTTGGCCATGGTGAGTTGTCCCATTCCGCAAACAGCTGGCTGCATGGAATTGTTTCCTTAAGCTGCATTTCAAACCAACAATTGATAGGTCGAAAACTATTTTTCAGTTGCCATTTGTATGGCTACAGCCTTGCAGCATATATGAGCCGTAGTGGCGCAGTGTTTAGAGTGCGGTACTGCAGGCTACTTCTGCTGATCACCGGCTGCCGGCAGTTTGACAGATCGAATCTCACCAGGCTCAGGGTTGACTCAGCCTCCCATCCCTCCTAGGTCAGTAAAATGAAGACACAGATTGTTGGGGGCAATAGGCTGACTCTGTAAACCACTTAGAGAGGGCTGTAAAAGCACTGTGAAGCGGTATAAAAGTCCAAGTGGTATTGCTTGCGTTTCTGTTTTAAGGCGACTATTTGAGCATTTTCCTTGGAATACATTTCTACTATTTCTATTACTATTTCTAACAACCCTCAATAAACTATGAAAAGCAATATTCATATTCTGGTAGCCACAAAGTAGACTTTGCTTTCTTCAGCAAGTTATCTAAACCTAATCCGTAGTCTTCAGATCTACAGTATCCATCACAAAGGAGTCGTTATTACTGTATATATCTTTGGATGAAAATTATATGATATTTGGCAAACACTAGCACTGGTACTTAGACTTATATACCGCTTCACAGTGCTCTACAGCCCTCTCTAAGCGTTTTACAGAGTCTGCATATTAGCAATAGCAATAGCAGTTAGACTTATATACCGCTTCACAGTGCTCTACAGCCCTCTCTAAGCGTTTTACAGAGTCTGCATATTAGCAATAGCATTAGCAGTTAGACTTATATACCGCTTCACAGTGCTCTACAGCCCTCTCTAAGCGTTTTACAGAGTCTGCATATTAGCAATAG